AAATTACAATATGGGGCTGGATTCACCAGAAAACTGTCTATATAGCATATATTTTCTTGTATTCATTGTTTAGAGCATCTGAATCTGAGAGGACTGATGCTGACCAGGACCGCGACCTGCTGGCCAAAGAGTTCCTTCGGATGCTCCTCTTGTTCGAGGACCTTATCCGATTCATAACGACCCAATAGCACATCGTTCCAATAGTTGTAGCCATTATGCTTGCTCCTATTATGGACACTAATATTGGCATCCATAAATTATCGTCGCCAACAACAACGTACGATAGGGACAAGTAAGCCACTGAAACAAACAAACATGCCACCCACATTAGCTTATTTATAATTGACATCATCTTCTTCTTCGCTCTGCTTTCTATTACCACGATTGTTGTTTGGACAACCACAACAGCAAGAGCGATAAATAAGGATATCGAGTCAAAGACGAAGAAAACCAGAAATGCTGGATTTGGACCAATATTTGCTTCTCCAAGGGAATGATCAGGTGGGATATCATCCGGATCATCGACCCATTGGCCATTGATTTGAAAGATTGCACCAAAGGCTACTGTGGCAATGAGCACTGCAACAACTGTGGTAGAATTGATTGCATTGTTAAGGCCTTCTGCATGCATTTTGTACACACGCTTGGCAATGTCTTGTATACGTCTTCTTGTTAGGCGTGTAGTTTCTAATTGATAGTGCACCCCGTGTTTTATGTCACTTACAGTTTGCTTCAACTCCCTTGCTGGATTTGTTGCCTGTGGCTTGATGGATCTAGCACTTTGAACACCATGTTCCTGAAAGATGGTTACTATTTCAGCCTGTCCTAGTTTCTCTGCAGTGTCGAGGACTGTCTCGTTGGTCCTATTGACGACTCTAGTGTCTGTTTCATTCTGCACAAGCAGCAACTTCACAATCTGCATATGTCAAAACAAGTATGAAATGAGCTCCCAATATATTCCACTCGCGCCTAAAACTCCTCATCAATTCCTTCAAATTTATTTTAAGAAACCACGCTAATCGACAAACCAAGGCTCTTTTGATATCTATCTGAATGCAAGTGATATATTATTGGCAGAAACAGGTTCGAAAGGACTTCTGATTTATTAAATAATCTAAAATACAACAGCAACAACAACTACACAGTATAATCCCACAAGTGAGGTCTGAGAAGGGTGGGATGTAGGTAGCCTTACCCCTACCCTGGAAGAGCAGAGAGACTGTTTTTCCGATAGACCCTCGGCAAAATAAAATACGGAAGAAGCACCGATAGCAAGTAATGGCAAGACAATATATTTAGAAAACTAAAACCAAGATAGCAATAGAAACTATGAAAGAAGTACTGATAATTAGTAACAACAATACGAGGTATGTTATGGGGGCAAACTAAGGGAGTACTGGTGGCAAGTAATAATAGTACAAGATGCGATAATAGCAAGCTAAGGATAAAGGGGTGTCATAGTAACACTAATACTATTGAACTAAGAACTAATGAAGACAAAGAGAAACGCTCGGCTACCCACTAACCTTCTACGCTAATCCTCAACCTGCACACCCTCCAATCAAGGGTCATGTCCTCAGTCAGCTCAAGTTGCGCTATGTCCCGCCTAATCACCTCTCCCCAAGACTTCTTAGGCCTACCTCTACCCTTCCTTTTATCCCCAAGACTAACCTCACACACCTCCTAACAGCAAATTCTTTGGAAGTTTGCTTGTTGAAACCTTAAAGTTTTTGAATTACAGTTCCGCGAAGAAATCACTTTTTGGTTTCAAAAATATTGCTAGACATCTTCCGTTCTCCGCTTAAGGATAAAGATTGTAATCTAGTGTTCTTTTCTATGCATAGTGATAATTTTACCTACTGCATAACAAACTCTTCAATAAACCTTGCATCCGCAATGTCGATTCGTATTTCTTGTTTATATTTTTTCCTAGTTATTTTTCAACATCTGTAATTCCCACTATATAAATTCTGAGGAAGAGTTATTGGGATCTCTTAAGTAACAAGAGAGCGAAAGATGAACAAAAAAGTCAAAGAAACAAAATCTTCAAGACACTAAATAAAAGAAAATAGATCCATGTCTTTGATTGATAAACAAAGAGTATTCTACAACTGAAACATCAGGAGAACAGCTAAAGTTTCAAAGCAAAATTCTCGCGTATTAGAAAAAGGACATATATTGGACTAAGACGAGATAAACTGAAACTATATGGATGGTAAAGATTTATTTAGCCGGCCCAAACTTTCTTGGAATTGAGGCGTAGTAATAGTAGTTATTGTTGTATAAGAAAAAAGAAAATACCTGATCCCTGCCTTTCCGAGCAGCAATATGCAACGCAGTATTGCCCTTGTTGTCAACCATATTTATCAAAGAAGGATCAGCTCTAATCAGCTCCTCCACAACCTCAAGATTTTGTCCTTTGACAGCCATGTGAAGTGCAGTCTGTCCCTTTTTATCCATTCTAGTTGCAATCCCTGGCTCCTTACTCAAAAGCGCTTTCAAAACCTGCACATGTCCATTTCTCGCAGCAGAGTGCAACGCCGTTTTCCCATTACTTTTAGCTATGGTGGCTAAACTGCTCTCTGCCTCCAATAGATAATTCACCACCTCTATATGCCCTTGGTTTGCTGTTGTATGCAAAGCTGTAGTATTTGAAACATCGACGGTCATTGAGAGCTCTGGATGTGCTTCCATTAATACCTTCACCACATCTGCAAAATTACAAATTCAACTTCATAATTGACAGAGATAATTATAGAAAGTTGGCTAATATGTTATAATGAACATCAATGGTAGTTTAAAAGCATTCCTTTCCTAGGGTCAATAGGTGAACGATATTCCGTTCTACAGCTACAACACTTGATTTTTATCATTAATATTAAACATTGTAATATAATAGAATTGCCTTTAAAGCTACCATGTGCATACGTGTTTTTTATTTTATTTTAATACAAAGACAATTCCTTAAAATCGCCTGAATTAGACATCAGAAAATAGAAAAGCAAATCAGAGTAATTCATACTAACATCAACAACAATAACAACAACAATAACAATAACAATAACAACTGTGTGTCAGTCCCAAACTAGTTAGGGAATGATAAGACCTCATACTAACATCAACATACCTAAATCTCCTTGTTTGGCAGCAATGTGCAAAGCATCATAGCCGTTCCTCGCTTTTATTCCAGCAGCAACAAGATCATAGTAATGGATCATCTCCCTAACCGACTGATAATAACCATATTCTGCTGCAACATATAATGCAGTTTCCCCAGCTGAATTTTGCTTTATTATCAACTCTGCCAATTCTTCCTCCTCTGTCTTTTCAAGAATCTCTCTTATTGCAACAATATTTCCAGCTCTAGCTGCTGCATGCATGGAACTGTCATCCCTTTTCCCCGTTAATTGTTTTGCAATCTTTTTCCGGGGTGCCACCGACTTAGGTGTAGGTGCTTCCATCCTATACAGTTGCAAAAAATCCTCCTTTCACCACCCTTCAGTCTGTACAACAACAACAAAAAAAAAAAAAAAAAAAAAAAAAAAAAAAAACAACGCCTCAATTCCAAATTAGCTGGAATCGGCTATATGAATCCTCAATATTCGTTCCTCTCTTTTCATCACCCTTAAATCAATGCAACAACAAGAACTACGTCTCTATATGTATCCTCAATAACCGTTCTACTCCATTTGAATTGTTTCTTTCAACTAGTCAATAATTTATTTTTAGGACAAATTAAGGACCCTGGCTAATCTTTATGAAAAATCCCTTATTTTCCTTCCCTCAAACACCCAAATCAACAATCAAAATTTTAGACACCAAGAGAGATTCAGAAACCAAAAGGGAAGCTCTATCAATCTGAAGCCAAATGTGAGAATCATACGTCTCTAGATTCATCAAAGGCAAAAACTTTCAATTTCATTCCCAACTTTTTTGAGCGAAAATCAAGCCCTGATAACAACAATAACAAAACCATGCATTAGCATTAGCATTCTTTAAGTATGAAGAAAGAAAGACATTTGTTTTCACTTCTTAACTTCCCCCACAATTTTTTTTTTTTTTTTTTTGAAATTTTGCTCTCTTTTTCATTTCTATAACATTTACTCCCTCCGTTTCAATTATGTGAACACATTTGATTGGGCACGAAGTTTAAGAAAAGAGATAAGACTTTTGAACTTATGGTATAAAATGAGGCACGTATATTTTGTGTGGTTATAAATCGTTGTATAAAGGTAAATTATTTTCAAATAAGGAAAGAGGTCATTCTTTTGGCACGGACTAAAAAGGAAATAGGTTTACACAAATTGAAACAGAGGAAGTATTTATTACACGTAAAAAGATTGCAAAATTCATAAAAAGAAAAGGGAAATTATTTACCTGGGCTAAAAAAAGTTTCCCCTTGTTTTTTCTCCTTAAATATCAACAAACCCCATAAGTGATCTATCTGTAAATTATTTTCCAACAAATTGGAACAAGGTGGAGAAACAGTGCTAGAAGTTAAGAGAAAGGGACATTAAAGGCACATTTATACAACAAACAAACTTTACATACACATGTATGCAAAATATAATATCTTTAAAGAATCACACCCAAAGCTCTTGAATCCTTAAAAAAGAACCATAAAAATGGCTCTTTTGTAAAGTTGGTGATGACGTTGATAGTTTTTATTTTGAGAATAAAAGATAAAAATATTTGTGGGTGATATTTCTTTTCCCTTTTTTTTTTCTTTTGTAATAAGTTGAGAGACAACAGAAGAAAACGCTAATTCCTGTGGTGCTGGGCAAAATGAACTAACCATATTACCAGAACCACGCGCCAAGTGTTTTTGGTAAAATTGTTTTCCAATATCTGGTTATGGTGAACTGATTAAAATATTCTCCTTGAAAAATTATCGCTACTAAATGAGACACTGCAACTAAAATCTCTTTTTTCACGTCACTTTTTTTTTCCAACTGGTTTCTGGAATTGTTTTGAAGTTCGGCTAATTTGATCTCGCGTTGCGTAAGATTCGTTAAAGGGAGAAGCGCTCTATACTAGAATTGTTTTGGAATTTTTTAGTTCTTACACAATATTTATTAAAATTGTCTTAGTTTTGTATATTACCGTCCTAAATAAGGTTTGCTAGCAATTTATATATAATTTATTATTAGTATCTTAAATTGGGGATTTAGTTATAGCAGGCTAAAAAGCAGTGAACATCGAAGTAAGAAAAACTGGGGAAAGAACAGAAAAAGAGAGATAGAGATGGAGAGAGAGAGTGAAAGAGAGAAAGAGAGAGTAGGTATATTCGTTATTCAATTCCTAATATAACGGAAAACTCATTTAAAACTAATTTGTATATAATTAAGTTAAAACTTGATTAGAGATGATAAATAAGTTCCTATGTAGTATAGATAGGTAAAAAAACCTTTTAAAGTTAGGTTAATTTTTAACCCAAATTGATTAATGAGTAACTTAACCAAAATATCTTAGAAATAATTTTTTTTGTTTGATATATTGTATATGACCAAAAGAAAAGGAAAAAGTCTTATACAGTAATTATATAATTCATAAGAAAACAAGATATTAATCCTGCCTATGTTATTGGATAGGGACCGGAAATGATACATTTACAAGCTAAGATATATAATCAATAAAACAAATATTATTTCCATGTTTTGGTAGCTAGTATTACAACAAGAAGAAAATATCAAATAAACGATTGTTATGGAATCATGCTTTTGTCTCAGTTAGAAAGAATCTTTTCTTGGGGTTGTCTGTTTTCCTTCAATCAACTACAGCGCACAACAAAAACCAAAACTAGTAGAAAATGTCAAAGCTAGCAAAAAAAGAAAAAGACAATTGATATAGCTGAAGAAGCACATTGAAGAATACTGTAGGAAGTAGTGTGATTTTCTTGATCTAATGAATCGGACAGTGATGCTTGATTCCCCGAAAAGAAGAGAGACAGAATAATTAACTCTCCTTACTCATCATTTCAAGAACATTTAGGGGTTTCCCGACAAGCAAACCCTAGTTCTGATTCCTTCTCTTCTTCTCTGGTTATATATTGATGAGATGAGGCGTATGAAGTGATGGTGAATGACAAAGAAAGTCAGGGTGCAATGATGCTGGTGAAGAGTTAGAGGAAAGAGCAAGCTGTAGGACGACAACATGATGATTGCTTTTTTTTGTTTTGTTTGTTAGAGAGCATCAACAGACATCTAATGTATTTAAGAAGGATCTCTCTCACTTCCTCTCTCTGTCTATCGTAATAAATTTTGAGTTTAATTTCTATACATCAATAATATAAATAAATTTAAATTTACATTATCGTATTACTTAAAAATGATTAAATTAAAGGTGTTATGTACAATAAACAGGATTAATAATGTAAATAATAACAAAGGTTCGATATTGTTTAAAAATTTACAGTATTATTTTGATAATGATAGTATTCGGGCGGAGCTAGCATTTAAATTATATAAGTTCTAAATTCTAGAATAACAATATGAGGTGTTAGTAACGCGGTTCTAAAAGTAAATATATATATATATACCAGATTTCTTAATAGAAATACTAGGCTTGGACTAACATTACTAAGTTCGACCGTACCGCATGTAACATTCTAGCTCGCCCTTATATTCGTATCAGTTTGTATGCATTTCGACTATTCCAAATATATATGCAATTTACCACTAGCATATGTACCAAATAAATCTATCAACAGGGACTTAAACAGATGGAGGAGGAAACAACCTAATATAATTTTTAAAAAAGTTTTATATATAAAGTTTTAAATCCATAAGTCCCCTAGCTCCTTACATCTCTCAATTCAAATAAAGACAAGTAGAATCGCCCAAACCGTCTTTCTCAAATGTAGCAAATCATCAGAATTCACCTGGTATTATCAAGCTTTTTAAGGATTTAATCCTAACCAGACACAACCATTTCGAAGTATAACTGTTTTGTGCAAGTATTCCACACTCCACATAAGTACATGATGCTTTTTTTTTTTTAGCTACGATGAAATTCGTAGCAATATATACATAATATTGTAGTGAGGTACACTTTACTTTTTAATGCAAAAGATGGTAAATGTATTTACTCTATTAGACTGTAGTAGCTGTATAAGCTAACAAGCAGAACGTACAACATTGATCAGAGAGTATAAATTCTCTAGTCTGACTCTTTAAGGTCATAATAATTGATGTTACACCCAGTGTTTTAAAAGGCGTTGGCGTAAAGCGGGGCGTTTTACATATGCCTCAGCGAGGCGTAAGCCCCATATGTATTTAATTTTTAATATTTTATAAAATAATATAATGACAGTTAATATTTATAAACAGGTAAAATTGCATAAAAATTAAAGAAAACTATATATATGTGTGCTCCATCCCCACAAAAAACTAATCAAAACAATCTATTATACGTTACTTACAAGCACAAGTAATTTGAGTCTAAAAGAATAAAGTTTTCTATATGGAGGAACAAAAAGGATGATTAACCTGCAATTTGAACTTTGAATTTGCTGCTATGAAGAAAAATGTAGTTTTCTTTGTATTTGTAAAAAAAATTAAATATTCATTGCTTTTGGGAGATATTAGCAGACTAGCGGATACGATAAAAAATTGGAAAAACCGTGAATTAGGGCTTAAATCAATAAAAAAGGTCTTTACTTTTAAATTTAATACTTTTGAATTCGTTTTTAAACCTTTTGAGTAATTACCAAACTAACTTTTGAGAATTTGGGTATTATATGAAAGACTAATTCAACAAATTTTATTTTAATTTGAAAAAGTCTCTGGGGCTTACTCCTTACTAAAAAAACGCACCCAGAATGCCCGGGCGTACGCCCCGAACGCCCGGGCGTACGCCCCGAACGCTCGGACGTACGTCCCAAATTGCGGGGCGTATGCCTCTTGAGACTTTCACCCCAAATCATCGCCCCAGGACTTTTTGGTACGTCTCGCCTCGGGGCTCGCCCCGGGCTCGCCCTAGAAACGCCTTTTAAAACAGAGGTTACACCTAGGAAAGTGACGAAGATAAAGAGTTCAAAGAAACATGCATGTGTAAGAGGATGTATAAAAGTTGAAAGTTATTTCAATTTTAAGAAAGTAACTAATACTCCCTCTGTTTCAATTTAGTGAACTTGTTTGATTGGTTACGGAGTTTAAAAAAAATGAAGAAACGGAGGGAGTAATTGTTTTTGTTTGGGCAAGACTGAAAAGGCAGTTTATGGATTCTATATATATGGGATTAGAAGAATATGTTCTTTAGCTTTATTGGGTCTCGCTAATGCTTAGGTGAAAGAGAGATAAATAGTTACTCCCTCCGTTCACTTTTACTTGGCATGGCATGTATAATAAAAATAGATTTTTATTTTTACTTGTCACTTTACGCATATCAAGAGAAAACAAAAAAAATTCATGTTATACTCACAATATTTATTACTCATTTCAAATCAATTTCTCAAATCCAATAAAATATGCATCAATTAATATGAGTATCATGATAAATTATATACTTCATTTATTATTTTTTAATGGGCGTAAAAAGTCAAAACGTGTCAAATAAAAGTGAATGGGGAGTATTTCATAAATAAAGAATAAATAGCAAAGGAATCATAGAACTCAGGAATAACTGACGAATAAGAGAATCAGCGAATTTAAGAATGTCTCTTAGAAAAAGAAAGCTGAGACAAGTTTACTTAATCTGAGGAGGACTGTGCGACTGTAAAATATATTTAAAAAATATGATCTGCATGCTGAAATTGTTTGGACGTATAAAACTTTGTCAGGTTGATTTGTTGACTCAAAATAACCCATATATTCTTTTTTATAATGGTATATACAAACTGATGTCTTTACTTCTCTTTTCAAAGTGATGGTATTAGAGTGATCCTTCGTTATCTTAAGATAAATGGAGAAGTTGAATGTTCTTTTGTCTGCGATACAGTGTAGCGGTCGTAAAAAAGGTTTAATATGATCATTAAAGCTTACCTTTTTTAACACTAAAATCATAAAACTATTTATTATAACACAAAGTCACTAAACTAACTTTTTGTAATACCAAAGTAAAAATAATGTTTTTGTAACAGTTAAGTCACTAGCCTAATTATTTGTAACACTAAAATAATAAAACTAATTTTGTAATATGACACTAAATCATGTGTTAGTTGTAACGTAAATCACCGGGGAGTCAAATTTTCGACGGAAAATGACATGTCATCGCCTTATCATTAATTTGCCATTATTTACATGCCAATCGTCATTTTGCCACTGTGTACATGTTCGCATCTATCTTTTCTTTATTTTATTTTTTTTTGTATATGGTCAAAACCGGTTAGCCCTTCGTACGAACTGGTCGAAATGGTAATGCATTGGATCGAAGATCAGGTTGAGGTCCGAAGTCAGGTCATCAAGCTTCGAGCTCTAGGGACCGATCAATGTCGAGCTCGATATCATTATCGAGCTCGAATCCAAATCGAACTATGATGAAGTTATCGAGCTTATGAGGCAAAGACCAACCAACATTGTTCTCGAATCAATACAAGGCTCCGAATCAGAATCGAGCTCGAGTCAAGATCAAGAGCTCGAGTCGATATCGAGCTCGAGTCAATATCGAGCTCATAGATAAGAGCAGTTGCAACTGCACTAGAGGAGATAATCGTGGCAAGAATTATGGAAAAAATAAT